CTGATGAAAGACTTAACAGAAAGAAAAATGCTTGGAAAGACAGCTGCATGTAAGTGATCCCTCAGACCAGCAGCTGCCTTTATAGTTTAAGAATACAGAAAATGCTATTTGTTTTTCCTAACTATTGCTTTTTTTCCTCTTCCAGCTATGTATACTGTTGAATTCCAGAAAAGAGGATTGCCTCATGCTCACATCCTCTTATTTATGGATGTTAATAGTAAACTGCCAACAGCTGACGACATTGACAAGATCATATCTGCAGAAATTCCAGACAAAGAAAAAGAACCGGAGCTATATGAAGTTATCAAAAACTCTATGATTCATGGACCATGTGGCTCAGCGAATCCAAATTCTCCGTGTATGGTTGATGGCCAGTGTTCTAAGCTATACCCAAAAAAACATCAAGAGATCACTAAGGTTGGTAGTGATGGTTATCCTGTCTATAGGAGGAGGCTCACAGAAGCTTATATTGAGAAAGGTGATGTTAAATGTGACAATAGGTACGTTGTCCCTTATAATAAGAAGCTCTCTCTTCGATATAATGCTCATATCAACGTGGAATGGTGCAATCAAAATGGTTCTATCAAATACTTATTTAAGTATATAAACAAAGGACCAGATATGGTTACAGTGATCGTTGAGCCTATAAATCAGCCAACAACAGGTGAAACAGCAAGTGGTTCTACAGCAACTGGTTCTACAGCAACTGGTGATACAACAACTACAGCTCAAGAACCAGATTCAAATGAGAAAAAGAAGGATGAAATAAAAGATTGGTTTGACTGCAGGTATGTTATTAACTTAGTATTATGTAAATTAGAAAGTTTTTATCCTGTTACAATTTTCTGGAATTCAGTTTTTGTATGTCTATAGATATGTATCAGCTTCAGAGGCGGTTTGGAGAATTTTCAAATTTCCTATTCAACACAGATCAACCCCAGTCTTGAAATTATCTTTTCATGTGGAAGGAAAGCAACCAATATATTTCGATCCAAAGTCACAAATAGCAGATGTTCTAGATCGTGTATCCAATGAAGATTCTCAGTTTATGGCTTGGTTGACATTGAATAGAAAAAATGCAGTCGGAAAGAATGGAAAGCGTGCAAGAGAGTGTCTATATGCGGAAATACCAGCCTATTTTACTTGGGATGGAAAGAATAAGCAGTTTAAGAAGAGATCTAGAGGCTGGGCTTTGGGTCGTATTAATTATGTCCCAAGGAAAATGGAAGATGAATACTATCTTCGAGTACTGCTCAACATAGTTAGAGGTCCACAGACTTATGATGACATAAAAACATATCAAGGTGTGGTTTATCCAACTTACAAGGAAGCATGTTTCGCACGTGGCATATTAGATGATGATCAAGTCTACATTGATGGTCTGATTGAATTAGGTCAGCATAGTTTTGCTCCTGTTTTGAGGAATTTTTTTTCAATGCTGCTTCTATCTATGTCTCTAGCAAGACCAGAACATGTTTGGTCAGAAACATGGCATCTATTAGCTGAAGATATCCTGGCTAAGAAGAAATTAGAGTACAAGAATCCAGGTTTTAGAATACGCTTCTCTAATTTTTAAATGTTGTTTTCAGTACAATTTTTAAATCGCCTGTTTTACCTTCCACACTACTATTTGCAGAACTTACACTCACAGAAGCTCAAATAAAGAACTACACGCTTCAGGAGATAGAGAAAATTATGTTGTTCAATGGAGGAACTCTAGAAGATTTTGAACATTTCCCTAAGCCTACAAGAGAGGGAATTGATAATTCAAACCGTCTTATTGTTGATGAGTTGAGATATAACATTGAATCCAACTTGGAAGAACAGCATGCAGAGTGGAGAGATAAGCTAACTCCTGAACAGAGAGGTGTATACAATGAGATAACCGGGGCAGTTTTCAATGGTTTAGGTGGAGTTTTCTTTGTTTACGGCTCTGGAGGAACAGGGAAAACATTTATTTGGAAGACACTAGCTGCGGCTATTAGGTCTAAAGGTCTAATATGTCTTAATGTCGCCTCAAGTGGCATTGCTTCTTTGTTGTTGGAAGGAGGAAGAACAGCACATTCAAGGTTTTCTATTCCATTGAATCCTGATGAGTTTTCTGTTTGCAAGATCAAAGCTAAATCAGATTTAGCAGATTTGATTAAAGAAACATCTCTCATAATCTGGGATGAAGCGCCAATGATGAGCAAGTTTTGTTTCGAAGCTTTAGATAAAAGCTTCTGTGATATTATCAAACACGCAGAGAACAAGGTATTTGGTGGAAAGGTTGTTGTATTTGGAGGTGATTTTAGACAAGTACTTCCAGTTATTACTAATGCTGGTAGAGCAGAAATTGTTATGTCATCTCTAAATTCTTCATACCTTTGGGATCACTGCAAAGTTTTAAAGTTGACCAAGAACATGCGACTTCTAAACAACAGTTTAAGTGCTCAGGAAGCTAAAGAAATACAAGAATTCTCAGATTGGTTGTTGGCTGTTGGTGATGGTAGGATCAATGAGCCTAATGATGGTGAGGTTGTGATAGATATTCCTGAAGATTTGCTGATTACAGAAGCAGACAATCCAATAGAAGCAATTACTAGGGAAATTTATGGAGATCCAACTAAACTTCATGAAATCCGTGATCCTAAATTCTTTCAAATGAGAGCTATTTTAGCACCAAAGAATGATGATGTCAACACAATCAATCAGTATATGCTTGAGCATTTGGATAGTGAGTATACTTTAACTCTTACCTATTTACTTTCTTATTATATAGCTTTGTTGCTAAGTTGTTACTGTTGTAACTAATCATAACCCATTTATTCTACAGGTCCAGAAAGAATTTATCTATCTGCTGATAGTATAGATCCTTCAGATTCTGATGCTCTTAACAATCCTGTTATTACTCCAGATTTCTTAAACAGTATCAAGGTTTCAGGTTTGCCTAATCATTCTTTGCGTTTAAAGATTGGTGCTCCTGTTATGTTGCTTAGGAATATAGATCCTAAAGGAGGCCTTTGCAACGGGACTAGACTTCAGATTACGCAGCTATTAAATCAGATTGTGGAAGCAAGAGTTATAACAGGAGACAGGATTGGTGATATCGTTTTTATTCCTCTCATAAACATTACACCTTCAGACACCAAACTGCCATTCAAGATGCGTAGAAGACAGTTTCCACTATCTATTGCATTTGCTATGACTATCAATAAGAGTCAGGGGCAATCTCTTGAACGAGTTGGACTTTACTTGCCTAAACCAGTCTTCTCTCATGGCCAACTATATGTTGCGTTGTCTAGAGTGACTTCTAAAAAAGGTTTGAGAATACTAATACTCAACAAAGAAGGGAAGATTGAGAAGAAAACAACGAATGTTGTTTTCAAGGAAGTTTTCCAAAACATTAACTGAACAATGTTATCTACAGAGAAATTCTGCAATGAGGTCAGTTGAATTACCTTTTACTTTTTATGATTTCAGTTATGGTCTGAAAAACCCCTACACACAATCATAATGCAACATATATTTCACTTTCTACTGTAGGAACCTCATATCTAATCAACCAGACAGCTTCAACATCAAAGATGCATTCATATCGGAAGTAAAATGTCAATTTCCTACTGAACTATTTGTGGAAGTCATTTGCATACTCTAAGTTCTGCATTTTCCTTTTAAAATAAAACAAAGAAACTCTTACCACCAAAAAATTGGTTGTGCTGGGACTAACCTTGCTTTCTGAGGTAGTTGTTGAATTCTCCTCTTTATATTTTTGGCTTCTGTGGACATCATCGTCAGAGATTGTGCTGGATTTTGGCTCAGTAACCTAGCATATTTCAAAAATAACTTAAAATTAATAGTTGCGATCACTTTTTTAGCTTATATCAGATTTTCAGAAACACATTATATTCTGCGTTTGTCACAACACAGTTGATTCATGCCTTTGTATAAACTACACGCAATTCTACCAATTATTCACCATCACTAATTACCTTTTAAACAAATCTTACGGAAAATGATGTTGCCTCAATCATCAATTTCAGATAAGCACTAACCTTTAGATTGCTCCGATTATGAATTGAACAATCGATTGAGTTTTCTCCTGTACTCCATTGCTTGATTACTCACTCGGATGATACCAGTCACTTACATGCAACCACTGAATTATACAGATTCTTCTCGCCGGAGACTTTTAACTTCTACAATCCAATCGGAATTTGAGAGACCTTATTTGCAATCCCATCCAAAAATCGACATCAATCCACACTGCCAAGACTTATTCAAAGTTTAGAAAAGCGCAGATGATGGTGAATTGAAGTTCTTTGATCGTCGGAATTGTTTTTTTACGTTATGTCACCGACAGACTCTAATCCGTTGACGGTACCAAATTTCTTCCTTTTTTGTTCTTTTTTTTTCCGACCAGATACAATAATATTACTTTAATTATTGTATATTAACTTTATTAAACTATAAATCTTACTAACTATAGGTTTTTAAAAAAAAAAATTACTCAGTATTACTAATTACTTAAAATAAATCCAAAACATTTTATCTTCTCATTTTACACTTTTAAAACTTTTATTCCCTTTTCACAAAATATATGTTCAAAAAAACTATAATTTGTTTTTTTCTAAAACGCAATATATTCAATTTACATCAAATACATTATCTTATTTGTGTAAATTTATAAAAGTGGAAATGGCATAATTTGAGTACAATTTAGTGATCTACTGGATATTTTTATACATCTATTTTAACTTACTGCAATTGAAATTTACTAATTCAACCATATATAGATATATACATCTCTAAATTTCAATATATACATATAAATTTATAAAAAAACATATATGTCAAATAAAATATATAAATTAATAATGAAGGAAATAATTAATAATATTTAGGCCCGCGGTGTACCGCGGGTTAACATCTAGTGATCAATAAGAAATGAAGCTAAAAGTTGAGTTAATAGGAAGCTTTGCCTAAATCTTGTATGCTTCTTGAAAGTTTCTTTTCTTTGGTGCTCTCTATTTTTGGTCGTTTACACATTATCCACTACGATGTATCTTGTTGAATCAGTGGCATTGACATCAACAAAGTCTGGATAAGGTGAAAGCTGAGCCTTCAAAAGGTTCGACTTTTTTCAAGGATTGCCTCTCTAGAATTGAGGGTATGTTTTATTTTGTTACCTTACATTTTCTATTTTAATGATTCTGTGTACCTGAAATTGGTACTGTGTTTTTATCTTGAGTTTGTTCTATAAGCATCAAGGGTAACCAGAGATGCCTTACCGACTGTAAAATTTGGTTCCTTTTGGTTGATTAAATGCAGGAGCTGAATACAGCAGCAAATTTTATTTTATTTCATCAAGAGATGTTGCCGTTTGTTCAAAACCTTCCCTTGTTTATCTTGCAAAAAGAATTTTACTTCTCAAAACTTGTCTCTGGATTACATATGAAAGCAAGATTGTCTCTCGAAGCGTTTCTCAGGTTTGCTATTTTTCCACTCATATTGGAACTATTTGCCAGTGGATCAGTGTTATGGTTGGATATTGTTTATCAGGGACATAAACTTGGTTCATGCTTATATGTTTGTCACCGACTACTCAAACATTTTATTCTTTTCAGCTGCTTATATGGGTTTTGAAAGTGCTTAGGGTAATGATTCTTAGTCACAGTCGATGCTGCTGCACCCTTATATTGTCTAGTATACTCTGTTTTCAGAGTAATGTAATGATATACATGACAGTGCTAGACTACTAGGAAGTTTTACTTTCTTTCTTGACTGATATTTGGTAGATTGTTTACTTTCTTCTTAGTTCTTAGGGTCAAGTACTTTGTCTTTATGATCTCTATGATCAATTTGGTCTTAGTTCTTACTTGCGGTCTCTATGATCAATTTTTGTCTTTGTCCTAACCAATCTTTTTTTTTTTTGTATAGCTTCCTTCCACGAATTGTTGATTCCTTGGTGGTTTCTTCTGGAAAACAGTGGTCAGAAAGATCCAGATGTTATTGAGCATACATACATTTTTTGATATATAGTTTATATTGTAGTTTTCTCCCTTTAATATATGCTGTAAATGTTGTTAAATCCAACAGAGCAGAATTTTTCTTCATCTTATGGATTTCAAATTTTTTATATGTTTGATTTATTATGATGAGGGGATACATTGGCGCTACTCCTCCTAATTGGGCAACTAATCAATGAATTTTTTAATAATTAATGTGTGGTTGAAAAAAAAAATTTAAAATATCAATTTTTTTTAGTGCAAAAAATTAAATCAATTTTGTTTTGTTTTTATACAGTTATTTTTTAAAAAATTTTAACGTCTGATTTATTATTTATTGCCCCATACATCCTTGGTGTGGAAGCATTAATTAACCATTGGGCCAATAGGACTTCCCCAATATAGTTATTTCTTTAATTGGGATACTACCGAATGTTCAAAAGATATTTTTTCAATTGTGTTAGGATGTTAGGATAATAGAGATTAGTTTGTGAGAGCTGGCTGATTTGAATATATTTATATAAGTTAAAAATATCTAGTTATTTTTCCAATTTCTTTTAATGGCATAAGAGCCGTAAATACTTCAAATAGGATTAAATGAGTTGAATTTTTTTACTCATCCATTCTCACTTAATAGTATAGCTAGATATTCAAGTATGAAATCTAAGTGAGTTCATAAAATGCAATATATAGAATACAATAACTAGGGATAAATGCAATTGTTTTCTTTTATTTAAACAATATTTTTGAATCTGATTTATATGAATTTATTGAATCTAATGAATGGGAAATTAGTAAGCATCTTGAACGCTAAAATGAGAAAATATTTTGTGTAACACTCTTGTTATAATATGAAGGAAGGACTTCATTAAGGTTTACACATCAAGAAAAAGAACAAGCTACTGGTTGTGAGTGATTGTATATGTTGTGAATTTTGAATGGATAAGTCATACTGTATAAGCTACTGAAGTCTAGTGGAATAAAATGTCTGAAGTTGTACATTTTTAGAACAAATTTACAAATAATGTTTTATTATCTCAAATAAGTTGTGTCAAAAACAAATCTATGGAGGAGTTCTCTGAGATTTACAAGAAAAAAATCTGTTAAAGTTGTGAGTGTGATCGAGGATATGTCTGAGATTTGAAAATCGATGATAGAAATTGTAAGTATTTATTTCTAAATTACTTAACTAATATTAGTTGTGATATTTTAACATGTAATTTGTGATAATGAAGATGACGGAGAAGGCTCCTTACCTTGCTGAGGCCGATGAGAACATGATTGAGTATGAGCATAAGCTGATCGCCCACATTAAGAAACTGGAACGTCTCATAGGAAGATGTTGCTCAGGTTAGTGTTCGATCGGCTTTTATATTGCAATGTTCAAATTAAAATGTTGATATTCATACCATATAAATATATATAACCACCTAGGATAAGGTTAGTTTTAGATCTCTATCAATTCTAAGTATTTTAATGTTCAATATGACTTTGTAATGACCATCTTGAACAAGGTGTTCCAAAAATGCAAATTTTGATGTTTTTACTTTTTGTTTTGTGCAATGGACTTCCAGCTAAAATGGTTTAATGCTTTTTTCCAATGACTATCATCATGATGATTTTGTTTTTTTTTTCTCACTATTTACTAACTTTCTCTGAATAATTAGTGTTATGTAAGAAATATGTTCATTTTTTAGTTAACATCGACATCCACAGAATGACAGCATATTGGTCACACAGTTTTAACTTCCTTTATATATTAAAAGACATTTTTTGGTGATGATGGCAAGCCCACAATTATTCTTCACATTTTTTATTTTATTTAATTATTCTGTACTCATTGACCCAACACTTTTAATTCTATTTTCCATATACTTATTATTTCAAACCAAAAACCAAACATATTTTAATATTAAATAAACTTACCAAAAATAATATTTTCTAAATTATAAAAATTTAGCTTATAGATGATCTTTGGTTTGTATTCTTTTCTCACCTCTAGTTCTGCGTCACATGTCATTGTCAATCAATTTCAACATCACGATAAATAATAACTAAAATGATATTTGCTGAATCGTTTAATTACAAAAACAGTGTGATTATCGATTTCTATTATTGTTTTTTTTAATCTTCAAAGGAAATACTTACCAATCAAACTCAATAATGATCTTACACAAAATCTTCATTTTCCTAATTAGATGGTCATTACTAATTAAATAATAACTAAAATGATATTTAATAAATAACCACATTCAAGTCCTTTAATTGTATAAACCTAAAAGTTGGCAAAACATGAGAACCTGGTTTTTTTGTATTGTAGTGGTTTGAGACGGAAAAAAATTATACTCTCAACAAAAATTAGGTTTGAGACGAGAAAAAGAAAAGAAAAAAAAGAACTTTTTTGGTTTGGATATTATTCTTCATTTAAAACCCGAGTTGATAAAATCCGTCCGCCCAAAGCCCAAGCCCCAAGTGACTATTTATAACGAGTATCAATTTTTTTTTCTTTTCTTTTTCTTCTGAATCCTGCTCCTCTCTAAGCTCTTCGCGGCGCTCTCTCAAACTCGCGCTTTCGCATCCCTTCTGTGTTGATTTCGTTTCTAAGTTAGTTTTTTTTTTTTTTCCTTTTTAAGTAAATTGTTTCGTGTGGATTCGTAATTGTCAGGTTTTGGAGTCGAATTCTTACTGTGTTTTCAGGATTGGTGTTTAGGAAACGCCGTAGATCATGGCGACTCCGGCTGATTCTCGGGCTGTCAAGTCGCTCAACAACTCCTCCAAGGGAAAGAAGAGATATGTGGTGCGTCGTGTTTCTCTCTCGTCTTGCTTCGTTTCAGAAATTCACTGACATGTGTAAATTCGTTGGTGCTCCTTTTAATTATGGTTTGTGGTTTGTTACTTACTTGTGTAAATACAACAGTTCAAGAAATTCTCTGAGAGAATCAACGACATTGACATCAAGAAAAAAGTCTTTAGGAGTCTCGATAAGGTGAAAGCTGAGCCTTGTCAAGGTTCCACTTTTTTCAAGGACTGCCTCGTAGAATTGAGGGTATGTTTTTACATGTTACCTTTGAGATTTTCTATTTTAATGATCATTCTGTGTAATTGAAAAATTGCTCAAACAAAAAAAAAAATGACATTTTTTTGGTACTGTGTTTTTATCTTGAGTTTGTTCTATAAGCTAGCATCCAGGGTAACCAGAGAAGCCTTATCGATTGTAAAATGTGATTCCTTTTGGTTGATTAAATTGCAGGAGCTGAATACAGCATCAGATTTTATTTTGTTTTATGAAGAGATGTTGCCGTTTGTTCAGAATCTGGAGTTGATTCTCTTGCAAAAGGAATTTATCTTCTCTAAACTTGTCTCTGGATTACATATGAAAGCAAGATTGTCTCTCGATGCCTTTCTCAGGTTTGCTATTTTTCCCACTCATATTTGCCTGTGGATCAGTGTTATGGTTGGATATTGTTTATCAGGGACATTAACTTGGTTACTCACTCTCAGGCTGTCTACTTTTGCAGGTTGATTGCTGCTTTGTCGAGAGATATCCTGGAGGACTTTATTCCGTGAGTATTTCTCAAACATTTTATTCTTCTCAGCTGCACAATACTCTTATATGGGTTTTGAAAGTGCTTAGGGTAATGATTCTTAGCCACAGTCGATGCTGCTGCTAAAAATGTCTAGCTTACTCTGAAACCAGAGTAATGTAATGATTGATACACGTGACAGTTTCTTGACTGATATTTGGTAGATTGTTTACTTTCTTCCTAGGGTCAAGTACTTTAAACTTGTCTTTGTCCAAATCAATGTTTTCATTTTTTTTTTCTGTATAGCTTCCTTCCACGAATTGTTAATTCTTTGGTGATGCTTCTGGAAAATGGTGGTCAGAAAGATCCAGATGATATTGAGCAGGTTGTTGCTGTTCTATAAAAGATTTTTACACTCTGGAGAAAGCCTCTAATCTTATATAACTTTTGCTGAATATTGTTCCATGCAGATTTTCTTGTCATGGTCTTTCATAATGAGGGACCTTCAGAAATTTCTTATACGTGACATTGAAGGTATTCTCAGGTAAGTAACGGAATCCCAATCTAATCAAGAATGTATGTTTTCCTGCGGTGGATCTAAAGACAAGTCAACAATAGGTCATTGTTGTTTTGGGAACGTTTATGCCATCTTTGTTCTCTTGTTTATAAGTTTATTGAATATCTGATACTGGTTACAGCTCAAATATCCAGTTTTGTGGTAGAGAAGCTTCTTGTATATTTCTTGGGTTCTTTAAGGTCTTTGGTTAGAACGAGAAGGTTATCCGATACTAGAAGGCTTAGCCAATTTAAAAGTGTTAGATAGTTTCTTTTCATGTTAGAGTTGTTTTTGGCAGTTTGAGGGGATTTATTGTACATAGTCTCTCTTAGCATACATACATTTTTTGCTATAGTTTATATCGTAGTTTTCTCCCTTTAAGAACAATACGTGAATGTTATTTGCTGTAATTGTTGTTAAATCTAACAGAGCAGAATTTTTCTTCGTCTTATTGATTTCATATTTTTTATATGTTTAATTTGTTATGATGAAGGGATACATTGGCGCTGAGGTATTACCCTCAGGACTATATCAGTGATAAAATGTCAGATACAATGTCATCTTTGTTGACGAGTGCACAGGATAATCAACTAAAGAAAGGTGATGGATTGCTTGTCATTTCTTCTTTTTCCTGTCTATGTCAGGACAGTCCGGTTAATCCTTCTCTCCTGAACATTACAGGGATCAAGAGGATCCTTTCTGAAGTTGCTGATCCACTGAAAAAAGCTGGAGGAGTGGCTTTACTATATTCTGTTATGAGGGGTACCTCTGTGAGTCTCCATTCCAAAGCTCGGAAGGTTTTGAGGTTCTTGCTGAAAGATTCAACACTATCCTTTTGTGATAATTTTCCTCAGGGCAAGTCCTTTTTCTAAACATGTATTAGAATATTATATTTTATATATAAATCTAGTGTGTCTCTCTATTCCTCTCTAATACTTGGTTGATTTAGCTTCCTTTTGGTTAAATCTTAATAGAGAGGGGTAAAATTTTTAGGGGGTATGAAATCAGTACCTTAGAGTTTTCTTATTTTTGATGTATCCAATTCTGTTAAGGTCGCATGTGATAAATGTAGGAATTATTGTTAGAGAAGGGGAAGTCGGTATCGCATAATCTTGAATTTATACCCTGAAGCTGCCATACATGATTTCTTTATTCTCATCATTGTTGATCTTGTAACCCTTTGCAGGTTCTGATAGTACAGTAGAAGCTGTGAGTTCAACTTTGCAAAGAATATGCGAGGATTTTAAAGCAGAAGAATTAAGTGTTATGTGGAACTGCTTGTATAAAGAAACAGAAGAATCAATCGCAAACAAACAATCAGCTCATTTAAGCCGACTGTTGACTGTGCTTACTTCAGCTGTTAGGGCTGAGAAAGGTCTCAAGGTTTATGGTAAGTTATTAAGTAATCCAATCTTTCGACTTGCTTTTCTCCTCCTATTTAGCTCTTTCTTGTGGGTACGCATGAAAACATACATTTGCATGACCGTATTGCCAATTTAAGTCTTTTTCAATATGTAACAGATTCCCCGTATTTGGTTGGACTCGTGAGCCAGATTGTGTCAACTTTTATGGATTCCTCTGCCACTGTTGTAGAAGGGGATAACTTCTCTGCTGTTCTTGATAAAGTTCTGGGACTGATGTTATGCACCATTGACAGTCCTAGTGCTGTCAGTGAAATGGAATCCATTGCTTCGCAATGGGCCCCCATTTTTTCCTTGAAGAGTTCAAGGTATTTGTATGCTATTCATCTATTTATACTTCCATAAATCTTTTTTATTTTATTTATAATTGATCATGCAATCCATGTAGTTTGCTGAGTTTTTTGCGGGAGTTGCTAAAGAAGGAGCAGTTAATAGTGAAAGCTTTTACAAGTAATATATTAAGGCAAGACTTCAAGTCGTATATCTTTTTCATTACCTCTTTTAATTTGCCTATCTTGATGTCTTTAATGACTAAATTCTGAGTTGCAGTTCGATCAATAATATGATTTTGGGGTCTTCGGAGGACGTTCTTCCTCTGTTAATATCATTGTGTGAGAAGCAGCAAGCAAGTCCCGACAGGGTGACCATCATAGGGGAATCATTTGAGAGCAAATTTGAGAGAATTCATGAGTATTTGGAAGAGAATATTAAGAAAATTCAAACGAAGATAGAGAATACAGGATTAGCTCAAATTGATGAGGCTGAGTTGGCTGCTGTTTGGGGAGCTGTCAATTGTTTTCCCTATTTTAAAGTGGATTCATCATTACTGATTTGCTTTAAGAATACTCTCAGACAGCATTTGGCAGCCTCAGATGGTAAGTTTTTAACATGCCATTCAATTGTTGGGCTTCCACTATATATAGATTCCTAAATAATTCTCATCTCCTATTTTTCAGTCTCTTTTCCTTGAATTTCCTTCATTGTACTGTGTTCTTATTTTTAGAAGTTAGCATAATTTTTTTATGTGCTACATTCTGTTTCAGTAAACACTTCTAGTGCTCCAGTATTGATGTGGCAGAGCTTACTTGGTGCTGCTTTGGGGTCATGTCTCAAATTCTGTCATAATGGAAGACTCATCCACAGTGATTTAGAGGAAGCTTTGTCACTTGCAAAATGTTACAAGTCATGTGCACAAGTGCTGTCTCCTGTGGCCGACTATTTGGATTTTGTGTACAGGTGAGTTTGTATGTTCTGGTGGTTATTAAATTATTTATCCATGTTGATGACTCTGTGATGGTACACTGATTCGGTTTTTTAATCGCAGGCCTCTAATAGCTAACGATGATAGCTGTAAAGCATGTCCAGATCTCCAAGCAAATAAAGCTCAAGAGACGTTTGACGTATTTTCTGAAAATTTACGTCACTCAAACAAAGATGTCCGTCTTCAGACTATACGGATTTTGTGCCATTTTGAAACTTTGTCTCCTAATCCATCTTTGGAAGAGAATCCTCCAAAGAAGAAACAGAAAACTGAAGTGATTCCAACGTCTTCTCCTAAAAGGAATGTGAGTAGATATCCTTTCTCTCCAAACCAGAATTTTTTATACTAACAGTATTATCTATAGTAACTTTTTGCTCTGCACTCTATCATGTCATAACTAATTTACATATATATGTATATATATATTTTTTGTCAAATTTCTAGGTTCTTCAGTTGTTGCTCACAGTTGAAAAGTCCCCTCATACAGTTTCAACTGAAACGAAGTTGATCAGTTTGATTACAAGAATACAAGAGGATCTGTCTACTTGCAGGATACATGAGGCATATGTACCGGTGGTATTCAATGGAATGATAGGATTATTTTATAGTCGTTATTCTAAAATATGTGTGGCAGCATCTAAGTGCCTTGCGGTTCTTATGAAGAAGCACACAGCAATGGTGTGGAATGATTTTGTTTGTTATCTGGGTCAGTGCCAACAAAAATTTGTAGCAATACATAATCATCCTGAGTGTGGAAAGTACAGCATCTCAGAGAAGTATACTGGTAGGTCATTTGAAATCACCAGCTCAGATCATTTTACCATTTTCTTTTGTATCTCTAACATTATCTTCTATATTGAATGATATTTTCTTCCTTACTAATTCTAATGAGTGTATACTGTTATTCTTTTTCATCTACAGATCTGATGGAGCAGTTTTTTATATTTCTATATCCACCATCTGATAGCACATCTACTGCAGAAGTGATATCCATGTTGCTCCAGACCTTACAAAAAGTTCCCACTGTTGCTCAGTTGCGGGTTTCTGAAATTCTCCCTCTGTTATTAGAATTTTTTGGATACAACAGCGAAAATTCCGAGAGGTAGTCATATCTCTGTCTTTTGTTCTTAAAGAGTAATTTAATTGAGTTGTAGTCATCTAGTTTTTCTCTCTACGTTGCAGGGTCGGATTATTTAAGGGCGGAGTTTGTAAAGGAGAGGAGTGGAAGCAGTTACTTATACAATGGATGATTTTGCTGAAGTTGATGAAGTATACGGGGTCGTCTCGTACTAGTCTATTTGTTAATGACGTTCTGCAAGATAGGTTGGCGCCAAACAACCTGATTTTTAACCTTTTGGATTAAAAAAAAACTTTCCTTCTGGATACAGAATTAAAGATTTGTGTTTGTTGGAAAACTTTTCCAGGTTCCTTGACGATAATGATGCTAATATACAAACGAATGTTCTAGAGTGCCTTCTGGAGTGGAATGATGACTTACGCCCACACTGCTTGCATTTATTGAATTTGATTAAACCAGATAAATTGAGTGATGAGCTCACAACCTGGAACTTATCCAAAGACATTGAAGAAGCTAGCAGACCTCATCTTGTTTCTCTTGTAATTCGCGTTCTTATGCCAAAAGTTAGGAATTTAAAGAATTCAGCTTCGCGTAAGGTACATATTACGTATTTCTTCTTAGTTCACTTTATCGTGCCAAATGCGGTTCTTTCATTTAGGACCTAACAATTTTCTATTTGTTTTTCTTGTCAGCGTACAAGTATTCCTCACCGGAAGGCGATTCTTCGCTTTTTTATAACTCAGATGGATGTTAATGAACTTTCCCTGTTCTTTGCTTTGTTGATAAAGCCTTTGAACATTATACCAGAGGAAGCCATGGACTTGTTTAGTAGCTCAGGAAAAAGTTCTGTGGGTTGCTTCCAAAAGTTGAATTTCTTGAAATATCTCACTGTTGATACTATTTCAACCTTATCCAGGAAGCAGAAATCTGGGTTTCTTTCTGTCATCCTACAAATCCTTGAAGTTTTTGATGAACCCCATGTCCGACCATTTTTAGACTTCCTGATGGGATGCGTTGTCCGGTTATTGGTAAACTATGTTCCACATATTGATGATGAAACATTGTTTTTTCGCCATTTCATTTCATTCGAATTTTCATCTTGTCTAATATTATATTTTTATTTTATGGGTATTTGATTAGGCTGGCACTTCTTTAAAGCAGTTTAAAAAGTTGAGATCCTTATGTCTGAAGATTATTGCATATGCTCTTAAGAAGTTCGGGGATTGCAATCTTGGCTCTGAGTTCTGGGACCTCTTCTTTTCAGCAGTGAATCCGTTAATTAAGAGTTTTAAGCAGGAAGGCTCTAGTAGTGAGAGACCAAGCTCATTGTTCAAATGCATCTTTTCAATGAGTAAAAGCTGCAATCTCGTGACCTTCTTATGTCGGGAGGAGTTTCTTATTTCAGACATTTTTTCAATCCTAACAGTCACTACAGCTTCAAAAGATATAAAGTCTTATGCCTTGAAGTTCATCGAGAATCTGCTCAGGCTTGACAATGAGTTGGATGAGGATGAGCATATGATCAAAGGGTTCTTAGATCCATATATAGAGGCACTGATTAGCAGCTTGCACTCCCTCTTTTTTGGGGATATTTTGAAAAGGTAAGGATTTTTGTAAGTTGACTTAGTTATTTGTGTATTGTTTTTATTAATTTCTTTTCTTGAAGGAAATTTTTATAATTATGATCAGGAAATCAGTCAAGTATCATGGAAATAGAGAGATTATGATTCTCAAACTATTGTCGAAGCACATACGAGATGGGTCTCATGTTACGAAGTATTTGGATGTCTTGCTGTCTTTCTTGGATAAAAGTGTGAAAGATTCTGGTATGGTTATTCATTGCTTTTCTTGGTAAAACTTGTATAATATCATGTCTCTTGCGTATGACTGTCTTATTGTTGTTGCAGATATTCATCGTGAGGCTTTGCTAGCTATTCAGGACATCTCATTGAACCTTGGGACTGAGAGTACCAGCAGAATTGTTAAGATACTGTCTCCTCTGCTTATTGATGCTGAAAATGAAGTTAGATTATGCATTTGTAATCTTCTTGAATCTCTTGCAAAAGTTGACCCGTCTCTGGTTCATGTGGTCAGTGTTCACATCTCTGATACTTCTTCTCGCTCCTTCTTTCCGCATTTGCTTTTCTAAAAAACAAACAACTGTTGTGTCATTGTACAGGCAAAATGTGTCCGCGATATGAATGCCAACTCACCCATGGAAGTTGATGGCCTTGACTATGAAAAGATAATTGATGCTTATGGGAAGATTGATGCAGATTTCTTTAATAAATCCTCGGAGCAGCACGTGATGATCATACTCTCACAGAGCATATACAACATATCATCAGAAGAGCTTATGTTAAAGGATAGCGCACGTAACCTCTTGTGTTCTTTCATTGAATTTTCAGCCTCAATACTTTGCCTAGAGGCTTCTGCTCACTCTGACATGATCAAAGAGGTTACAAAATCTGATGGAAGCTGGACTGGAGATCGTGTATTGTGGATTATAAATAAGTTTATTTTGAAACACATTGGAGATACATTAAATAGAGGAATTTCTATTGGAAAGGTTAGTAACGAACAAATGAAAATCCCATTGGACTCTAGTTGTAGGGCAGATTTCTTCTAGTTAGCAAATTTACGATGGTGCTTATGGTTAACTTACCGTCATGCTTCTACTTATTCGCCAAATCTCTTGACCAGGAATATTGATTTGTATTTCAAATTGTAAGATTAAAAAGTGTGGCTCTCTTCTGCAGGGGGAGATTCTTTTGATACGCAAAATGGTGGCAACACTTCCAGATGCCGGAAATCTTTCTGCATTCAGACCTTTATGCTCAGAAGACGATGAAGTGGATTTCTTTAAAAACATTTTTAGCATTCAGGTAAAGTAATGTTATCATCTGACTCCTTGAGTCTACAGTTTTTATTAGCGTTGTGGTGAGAATAATCAGAGTTGATATATTATAGCCACACAGGAACCAGTGCCACTTCTGATTTTTTCTTTTTTTGTTGGGACCTTATTTTACCATTTGAGGATGAAGCAGCATATCACTTATGAATGATGATAGAAACCTTAAGATGATTTACTTCTTTTGAATGTCTTATAGGCACACCGTAGAGCAAGGGCAGTTAAACGTTTCACAAAGGTGGTCAAAGATAGCAGTCTGCCTGAGGTGATCTCTTTGCGTTTCTCAGATTTTTAAGTAAGATTTATGTACTTCCATAGACGTAATGACCAATTTCAGTTGGGGTTGCAGGGAGTACTGAGAAGACTTTTGGTCTCAGTTTTTTTCAACATGTTGCTTGATGGACAAGATGAAAAAGGGAAAAATGTCCAAGATGCATGCAAAGAAGCCCTTGCATCTGTATCTGGTCATATGAGTTGGAAGTCGTACTACGCCCTATTGAATCGGTGTTTCCATGAGATGAAAGAGCATACCAAAAAGAGAAAAATTCTGCTGCAGCTTAGTGGCTTGATTTTAAATAACTTCCATTTCTTAAAAGATGGTTACACACATGAGGCTGCGGAGATTAGGAGTTGCGTTGAGAAAATCCTTTTGCCGAAGATACAGATGCTGATTGATTCTGACAGTGTTAATGTTGACAGCTACGTGGCTGCAGTGAAGGTTCTAAACCTTCTGCCCAAAGAAATAAGGGACCCGCAGCTAGGCTCTATAGTTCCTAAAATTTGCAGTTATTTGAAGGATGGGTTGGCGAGCACACGTGATGTAGCAAGAAAGGCTCTGGCTGCTTGTGTGGAGGAACTCGGGCTAGAGTACCTGCAATTTGTTATAAAAGATTTACGTGCTATATTAAAACGAGGATCTGAGGTGCATGTGCTAGGATACACTGTCAATTTTATCTTATCAAAGTGCTTGTCCAATCCTAATCCTACGTGTGGGAAGTTGGATCATTGTTTGGGAGATCTCCTTGCAGTGGTGGAAACCGATATCCTTGAAGACGTTTATGAACAGAAAGAGGAGTTAAAAACCGCGTTCAAGAAGAAGAAAGAAACAGTAAAACGCAAGTCACCTGAGACTCTGAAAATGATTGCTGAAAATGTAACGTTCAGAAGTAGTCATGTGTTGAAGTTACTTTCTCCGGTCACAGCTCAGCTGCAGAGGCCTTTGACTCCAAAGTTAATATCAAAACTAAAGGAGATGTTAAAATGTATTGCAGCTGGTATTGAAGGCAATCCATCTGTTGATCAAAGAGATCTTTTTTGTTTTATATATGAACGTGTTGTTGATGGTATTAACAACAGGAATGGTCTTGGAGATGAAGCATGGAAAAAGAAATCAAGAGATCTGCAAGTGAAAGCTGGTGCTAAGTCATGTCCACATCTTATAACCGTGTTTGCTCTGGACTTATTGCACAACAGACTGAAACAAATAGACCTGAACAATGCTAACGAAGGACTGGTGTCGATGTTGGATCCTTTTGTCAAACTACTTGCTGGGTGCTTGAGTTCTAAGTATGAAGATGTTGTATCTTTATCTGTTAGATGTTTCACTCCACTGTCAAAGTTGCAGCTGCGCTCCTTCAAATCTGAAGCAGATAAAGTGAAGACAGCACTGCTAACTATTATCGCTCAGTCTGCAACGAGTTCCAGTAGTCCTCTTGTGCTGTCATGCCTTAAGCTGTTTACAGTTCTTCTCGAATCAGGAAAATTCACTTTATCATCTTGGGAGTTGAAAATGTTGCTTCAACTTTCCATGTTTGTTGATCTGGAATCGGATTCATCTGAGGATTCATCTGTTACTTCTCTGTCACTTATCAAGGCCATTTTGGGAAGGAAGCTTGCAGTCCCAAACGTACATGATATAGCAGGTCAGGTATTAGGGTTGATGATAAAGACTCACTCGGACCATACACGCAAGCATTGTAAAAAATTACATTTGGAAATTTTGGTCCATTATACACCTTCTGAGAAATGCCTACAACGACATGTTAACATTTTGCTGAAACATCTGAGGTACGTATGTGCATTAGCTCTTTGAAATTTTGCTTTCTTTTTTAAAATAGTAACTGAATTTTTCCCTCCTCCAGCTATGAAAAGTTAACTGGAAGACTAGCAGTTCTTGACATGCTTGAAGATCTTATCAATAATTTCTCGAAACCTTATCCTGGCAAGCAGTCGTTTCTTGACCAGCAGTCCCAAAACTTCTTTCTTCAGCTTGCTCGTCGTTTGGCAACTGATGATGATAAAAAAGTACTGTCGAAGATTTGTCATGTGATAAAACTTCTGATAGGTCGCATCAGTAAAGATCAAGTTGATTACAGCCTCGAGCACTGTCTGGTTTGGTATAAGCATGAGAATTCACGTGCTATAGCTGCACAGGTAAATTCTTTGAGGGTTCATGTTCTTATTGACAATAGGTTGATGTCAGATCAGTCGGGAGTAGAAAATAACTTTACATGATCGTTATAGAATTTATGGCTTGAAACATCGTCATGAAGCTTTGTTTTGTGATATGCGCGTTTTTTGCGGTAGTTGATTACTCTTACTCATTTGTTGGATGCCCTGCAGGTACTGGGATTATTCATCGAAGCCATGCAGGAAATATTTCGGAAGCATATCTGCAATGTATTGCAGGAGGCTAAAATGATTTTGGAGTCTACTGTACTGTTGCAAGATACGGTTGAGGAAGGCAGTATTCCTTTCTGGAAGGAATCTTATCATTCACTTGTTATGATAGAGAAGATGCTCCAGCAGTTTCCTGATTTAACTTTTGGAAAAGATTTTGAGGTAATGCTCTCAGCTTGTTAATCTTTTTTTTGCCTTTTTCTCCTTGTTCTATTCTTATTAGACCTCATTTCTTATTCAGGATATTTGGAAAATGGTGTTTAAGTTGATGTTGCACCGACACCAATGGTTGCGTACTATATCCTGCCGGCTCTTGAATTATTATTTCAAGGAATCAGGAACATCTCAGAAACTAGTAGCTAGTTCTCTTCTCGGGAAGCCAAGTAGCCTGTTCAGGGTGGCTGTTTCTCTTTGTGTCCAATTAGAGGATCAACGCAGCACATGCATTAAAGACATTACAGAAAATATTGTTTTTGCTCTCTCTGGTCTTCATTCTATGATTGGACAATCTGATGATGAGTTCTGTTCCAGTCTTGACGATGATGAGCAAGTGTTGTTCCTCAATGCCTTTGAAGAGCTTGATTCAGGGAAAGGAAGGTCTAATTTTCTGGCTCTTACCTCAGGAAAACGCAGTGAAAACGATGCGAGAAATGTATTGATTGGAAGTTTGCTCAAAAGAATGGGGAAGCTCGCTCTTGACATGGACTCTCTTCAGATGGGAATTGTGTTCAACGTCTACAAAGCATTTGCCTCACAATTGAATCAAGAAGATTGTCTCTTATACGCCTTCAGAATCCTGCTCCCGTTGTACAAAGTTTGCCAAGGATTTACCGGAAAAGTCATCCCAGATGAGTTGAAACAGCTAGCGGAAGAGGTAAGAGACAGTATAAGAGACAAGAGCTTAGGCAGCCAAATGTTTGTGCAAGTTTACAGCGAAATCAAAAAGAGTTTGGAAGCCAAAAGGGAGAAGAGGAAACGAGAGGATAAGCTAATGGCGGTGATAAATCCCGAGAGAAACGCAAAGAGGAAACTCAAGTTAGCTGCAAAGAACAAGGCTAACAAGAAAAGAAGGATTATGAGCAATAAAATGGATAGAAGGGCTCGCTCTTGAGCTCACACATATGAATTATAGCCATTGTTTTGGTTTAATTTAAAGTTCATTATAACTAATTAGTGATTATATGCCAAAATATCCAGCCAATGGGGTAAGAATAAAATATAAGTTTAATAGCCAAAGTAGCTTCGTTCCCGGTTAAATATTTTATTCAGCTTCGGTCGCTATTTAGACAGAGGCATACACATCTTCGTTGACCTGTCTTCAACAGATCGTTCATCTGGAACTCTGTTCTGTAGCAAGGTAAGAAAAAAAACAGAAATCTTCAACTCTGCTTGTAGGGAGGGCTTTCTAGTCAATCTTCTGCATCTTCTTTTCGCTTTCTAAAGTCAATTGTTCTCAATCCTGAAATTATGTCTGAAATCTATTGAACGAATGCATGCCCATGATTCTGGAGCTGACTAGGGTTTTAATTTGGGAATCATGGTGAGATTCTATGGTAGTTTGATGTTTCCTTTCTACTCACAGGTCTAAGATGATGATAGCTCAAGGATTGGGAATATATGTGGTGGAGAGCAAAGGAGGAGCAATTTTTTGTATATTGCTTTCTCTGCTCTGTTTAGGCACTTGGCCTGCTCTTATGGCTCTTCTTGAACGGCGTGGTCGTCTCCCACAACATACTTATCTTGATTATTCCATCACCAACTTCTTGGCTGCAATCTTTATAGCCTTTGTGTTTGGTGGGCTTGGTGAAAGTACACATGAGGCACCAAGTTTCATTACACAACTCACTCAGGTTTGGATTTGAAGGATTCTGGACTTATATGGAGATTGCATTGATGGGTTTATATATCTCTTGTTGCTGCAACAGATTCAAGATAATTGGCCCTCTGTGTTGTTTGCAATGGCGGGTGGGGTGGGCTTAAGTATTGGGAACCTTGCTACTCAGTATTCTTTAGCTTTTGTTGGTCTGTCTGTTACAGAAGTGACAACTGCGAGCATCACCGTTGTTGTAGGCACAACTGTCAATTACTTTTTGGACAATAGATTGAACCGAGCTGATATTCTTTTCTCTGGTGTTGGCTGCTTCTTGGTAGCTGTTTGTCTTGGTTCTGCGGTTCACTCTTCCAATTCTGCTGATATAGAGGCGAAACTCGGAAAACTCTCAGGGGATTGTGAAACTGTGGATACGGAAGAGTGCCAGAGACTATTTGGAGGTGAAGTTTGATATATAATGTGACTTAATTGTCTGATAGTGTTAACAAGATCACTCATCAGTTCTTTAGTTTTATGGTAGTAGAAGAAGAAGAAAAAGAAATGGAGAATGTTAAGGAAGGGACTGCAGCTTTTCTTATAGCACTCGAAAACACAAGAGCAATTAAAGTAGGATCTTTCTCTTTAGTTCTGTGTTGATCTTGAATTTGGAGGCAACAAAGTAAATCAATCTCTATCTACTTCTTTTGGATTCAGGTGTTTGGAAAGAGCATGGTTGTTGGTCTGGGGATAACCTTCTTTGCAGGACTTTGTTTCTCATTGTTCTCACCACTATTCAACCTTGCAACAAACGATCAATGGCATGGTCTAAAACAAGGCGTTCCCAAGCTGATTGTCTACACCGCATTCTTCTACTTCTCACTATCTTGCTTTGTAATCGCCGTCGCTCTCAACATTAGTTTCCTGTACAAACCTGTGCTCGACTCACCAAGATCTTCCTTTAAGGAATACCTGAGTGACTGGAACGGAAGAGGTTGGGCACTTGCAGCTGGATTGTTTTGTGGGTTTGGTAACGGTCTTCAGTTCATGGGTGGACAAGCTGCAGGATATGCAGCCTCAGACGCTGTTCAGGTCACACAAACACTTGTTTAAGATTAAACTGGAATTTTCTTTATCTTTGCTTGTGTTTTAGTGAAATCTTAGATTGATATCCATGACCAGGCACTTCCTTTGGTATCGACTTTTTGGGGAATATATCTGTTTGGGGAGTATAGGAGATCATCTCCGCGGACATACGCTTTACTTGTTGGAATGCTGGTGATGTTCACTGTTGCTGTGGGGCTTCTAATGGCCTCGGCTGGGGAAAGAGAGACGCGATTTACCTAAAGAGTTCATCGATATGGACAAAAACATAGACGGTGTGGCTCTTCAAGATGTGTTGTACATTGTGGTTACTTCAAGTGAAAGAAAATGTAATACTCAGCTGTTTGATATTCGTTTATATAAGAAATGAAATGAATACAGATCATATATTAGTAGTGGTTGGATAGGGTTCCTTGTAAATCCCCAATGATTGCAGAAAAATTTGAGTTTCTTATATTCCTTCGCATTTGCAATATGAATAATATCTTAAAAAAAGATATCCGATAGTAGGAGGGGTCGAACCTCCGACCTTGTGGTTAACAGCCACACGCTCTAACCAACTGAGCTATTCCAGCTTTTGATCACTAAATGTTAGTCAACCGATATATCTATATACACATAACAAATATTAAACCAGCAATCATCATAAACCCAGGCTTGAATTGTAGTTTTACCAAATTTTAATAAAATTTATGATGACCAAAAAAAAAAAATGTTTATATACATGTTTTACATAATTTACAATTTTTTTGGCCATCTTTAAACTCATTAATAATTTACAACAACACAAATGTACGTTATTTATTGAAATTGTCGTCAGTTCAACGGAAAAAAAAAGGAATAGGATAAGAGGAGAAGAAAATTCAGTTCATTTTAGATATATCTTTTACATAAAATTCAACAAAGATTAATTATCGTAATGACTAATGATTTCAATAAGAAGTTAGGTTTCTTGAAAATATGATCTCACCTTACGTTTCCATTTATAAATTCTCGATCTGTATTCAATTTTCTTCCAATACTAGTTAAATTTTCAATATATATATATATACTGGATTAATAGACAAGTCACAAGTTCCATAGTCAATCCCAGTCATGAAAACGATTGCTCTGTAATAGCGTTGGAAATAATTTCCTTTAGCTTGTTCAAACTAAACACCTACATGTTGACTAAAGAAATTTCAAAGTAAACCTATATGACAAAACAGAATTCAATTTTAAATTAATTTCTCTCTATATTTTTATTCTATAAACTTAAAATCCTAATAACTAGAATCCTATAATAGAGACGTAAGACATATTACATAAAAAAATATAAAATATAAAATAAAAAACAATGAAAGAAGCCCTTTCTGTTTTGTGTCTTGTTCTTTTGGTTTCGGTTTTAGAAGCAGCAGTAACGAAACCAAAATTTGGGGACTTCATCGAATGCCTTCGCTATCGTACAAGTTCGGAGAATCCAATCACCAATGCCATCTCCATCGCCGATAACACCACCACCTTCTTGTCTTCTTACTTGTCCTACACGAAAAACAAGAGGTACTCGAGCCCTAACTTCAAAAAACTACTAGCTATCGTAGCGGCGAAACATGTATCTCATGTTCAGGCCACAGTGGTCTGCGCAAAGACCAACGGTATACAACTGCGTATCCGAAGCGGCGGTCATGACCTCGAAGGCCTTTCTTACAGGTCATCTGTGCCATTTGTCATTCTCGATATGTTCAATCTCAGATCTATTACTGTTGACGTATCAAGCAAGAAAGCATGGGTTCAAGCTGGTGCAACCTTGGGAGAGCTCTACGTAAAGATCAATGAGGCAAGCCAAACGCTAGCATTTCCAGCTGGCGTTTGCCCTACGGTAGGAGTAGGAGGGCACATAAGCGGTGGAGGGTATGGAAATCTGATGAGAAAATTCGGAATTACAGTGGATCATGTCATTGATGCTCAATTAATTGATGTCAACGGCAAGCTCTTAAATCGAGCTACCATGGGAGAAGATCTCTTTTGGGCCATTCGTGGCGGTGGTGGTGCGAGTTTTGGAGTTATCCTCTCTTGGAAAATCAACCTCGTCGAAGTTCCAAAGATCCTGACAGTATTTAAAGTTAACAAAACATTGGAACAAGGAGGCACTGATGTTCTCTACAAGTGGCAGCTTGTCGCTACCAAATTCCCTGATGATCTTTTTATGAGAGCATGGCCTCAGACCGTAAATGGAACAAAACGTGGCGAGAGAACCATCGCAGTTGTACTCTATGCTCAGTTCTTGGGTCCAGCTGATAAGCTGATGGCGATAATGAACCAGAGCTTGCCTGATTTAGGGCTAAAACGTGAAGATTGTCACGAAATGAGCTGGTTTAACACGACATTGTTTTGGGCTGATTACCCGGCCGGTACACCGAAGAGCGTTCTTCTAGATAGGCCGACGAATCCAGGATTCTTTAAGAGCAAATCAGATTACGTTAAAACACCAATCCCAAAAGAAGGATTAGAGAAGCTTTGGAAGACAATGTTTAAATTCAACAATATTGTGTGGATGCAATTCAACCCTTACGGTGGAGTGATGGACCGGATTCCTGCAACCGCCACAGCGTTCCCTCATCGTAAAGGAAACATGTTCAAGGTTCAATACTCTACGACGTGGTTGGATGCAAACGCCACAGAGACTAGCCTAAGTATGATGAAGGAGCTTTACGAAGTTGCGGAACCGTACGTGTCAAGTAACCCAAGAGAGGCCTTCTTTAATTACAGAGACATCGATATTGGAAGCAATCCAAGTGGTGAGACAGCCGTGGATGAGGCTAAGATCTATGGATACAAGTATTTCTTGGGGAATTTGAAGAGACTGATGCAAGTCAAAGCTAAGTATGATCCTGAGAATTTCTTCAAGAACGAGCAGAGTATTCCTCCTGTTCGTGTAATGTAGTAACCTTACTCTTTGATAAGATTTATTAATTAGTAGTATAGTAATAAGTTATTTGGGCTTGTCAAAGCTTATAATGTAGTTTTCACTATTGTCCCATTTGCATTACTCAATAAGGACTTTCATGGAATCGATTTTCCTTGCACATTAGGATAGATCAGTTCTACTTTTACATCTATATATAACTGAGTTATTATTTTCTTGACCAAAAAACTATAAATGCCAAATAAAAACTCACTTCGTTGAACATTATCTCGAGCTTGCTCTAATCAAGCTCTTAATTCTGTACAACTTTCTTTCAGCTTTCTCTCTCACTCGCACGGACTGAGCACTTGTGCTCTGTCTTTATATAGAGACAGAGACAACTTTAGGAACTTGGACACAAAGTTTTTCTCAGTGCAGTACGAACCTGAAACTGTTTCAGAGAAAACACAGGGAGCTAGGAGACTTCAAATCTTATCCTTGGAACCCTTCGTTTCCATCTGAGTTATTTTTTCGTTTTTTCTCAGTTAAAATCTTCTGTTTTAGAACAAATCTTTTTTTTTTTTTTTTTTTTGATTTGACATCTTCTTCAAACGACTTCTTCTTAATGTTTTGACTTTGAATTCAAACTAAACCCCACACACACTCTATGTAATAATGTAAATACATCTTGCATATAAATGTAATAAATGGATACATATGACGTATAAACGTAATTACCACTTGACCCTGAGGTCAATGACTATAGTTTAGTGGTTTATGTTACCATTTAGATTCAACCTGACATAAATGTTTTTGGTTTTATTAATGTTAAACCTGATAATGTCTGTTGTACTATTTAGATTAACCTGAGTTGTAGATAAAAGAAATTAATTAGATTTATGTATTATTGTATTTACGGATTTACCACAGAACAAATAATCAACATTTCAAAAAAAAAGCTCAGTGCTATTTGAAAAGTCTATTGCATGTATTTATTATATAAAAAACAAAAAAGTCTATTTCAAACTCTTCGGCTATTTATAAAGTCATTAGTAATTTTCAACACACAAACGTTATCCACTAAAACTTGAAGTCAAGGAAGTAGAATAAAATATAATGATATAGAAAACAAAATTGGAAAATTCAGTGCATTATATTCATGAAATATCTTTTACAAAAAAAAACTCAACGAAATTTAGGAGTAATTTTCTCAGTAAAAGATAGGTTTCTTGAAAATATGAAAGAAGAAGTCTCACTCACCTTACGTTTGCATTTATGATAAAGTATCGTTTCTAATCTCTGTATTCAACTGTTTAATTCCTCGTAGCGCAAATGTAAAAGCGGATAAATTGGCTCGACAAGTTCGTACCGAACCGCTTCATATCACTTATGTAAACAACATTCCGCAGGAATGGTTCTTTTGAGCGTTTAATTTAAGCTGTTGACAAAAAAAAATCGCAATATATGGAGTATATAATTATATATGTTGTGAAAAAAAAAGAAGTTCAATAAATACAAATTAATCCTTGAGTTCAATCATGAAAACCACTAATCCTCTGTCACATACGTTAAAATTTCCATTGTATTAGCCTGGTCAAAACAAACACCTACATGTTGACAAAAGAAAATTCAAAGTAAACCTATATGACGAAGTCACTTTTAAATCAATTTTCTCTCTAGATTTTGATCCTATAAACTAAAATCCTAATAGAAGTGTAGGACATACTGCATAAAAAGTAAAAATGAAAGAGGCACTTGTTTTTCTTCTTTTCTTGACCAAAAAGTTTCCAGAGAAGTTCAATAGTTGCTCAAAAAAGAAAGAAACACTTTATGTTTTGTGTCTTGTTCTTCTTATTTCGATTTTAGAAGCACCAGTAACAAAACCAAATTTTGGAAAGTTCATCGAATGCCTACGCGATCGGACTACTCCGGAGAATCCAATCACCGATGCCATCTCCATCGCCGATAACACCACCACTTTCTTGTCTTCTTACGTGTCATACACGAAAAATAAGAGGTTCTCGAGCCCTAACTTCAAAAAACTACTAGCCATCATAGCGGCAAAACATGTATCTCATGTTCAGGCCACGGTTGTCTGCGCAAAGTCTAATGGTATCCAGATACGTATCCGAAGCGGTGGTCATGACAACGAGGGTTTTTCTTACGTGTCGTCTGTGCCATTTGTCATTCTCGATATGCACAATCTGAGGTCTATTGATGTCAACGTGACGAGCAAGAACGCATGGATTCAAGCTGGTGCAACCTTGGGAGAGCTCTACGTAAAGATCAATGAGGCAAGCCAAACGCTAGCATTTCCAGCTGGCGTGTGTCCTACGGTAGGAGCAGGAGGACACATAAGCGGTGGAGGGTTTGGAAATCTGATGAGAAAATTCGGAATCACAGTGGATCATGTCATTGACGCTCAATTAATTGATGTCAAGGGCAAGCTGTTAAATCGAGCTGCCATGGGAGAAGATCTCTTTTGGGCGATTCGCGGTGGTGGTTCAAGTTTTGGAGTTATACTCTCTTGGAAAATCAACCTCGTCGAGGTTCCAAAGATCCTGACAGTGTTCAAGGTTAACAAAACATTGGAACAAGGAGGCACTGATGTTCTCTACAAGTGGCAGCTTGTCGCTAACAAGCTCCCTGATAGTCTTTTCATAACAGCATGGCCTCGGACCGTAAATGGACCAAAACCGGGCGAGAGAACCATCGCGGTTGTATTCTATGCTCAGTTCTTGGGTCCAACAGATAAGCTGATGGAGATAATGGACCAGAGCTTCCCTGAATTAGAGCTAAGCCGTGAAGATTGTCACGAAATGAGCTGGATTAACACGACGTTGTTTTGGGCCAATTACCCGACGGGTACACCAAAGAGCGTCCTTCTAGATAGGCCTCCGACAAATTCAGTGTCCTTCAAGAGTAAATCGGATTTTGTCAAAAAACCAATCCCCAAAAAAGGATTAGAGAAGCTTTGGAAGACAATGTTTAAATTCAACAGTAGTGTCTCGTTGCAATTCAACCCTTACGGTGGAGTAATGGACCGGATTCCGGCAACGGCCACTGCCTTTCCTCACCGGAAAGGAAACTTGTTCAAGGTTCAATACTCTACGATGTGGTTTGACGCAAACGCCACAGAGAGTAGCCTGGCTATGATGAAGGAGCTTTTCGAGGTTGCGGAACCGTACGTGTCAAGTAACCCGAGAGAGGCTTTCTTTAATTTCAGAGATGTCGATATTGGAAGCAATCCAAGTGGTGAGACAAACGTGGATGAGGCTAAGATCTATGGATACAAATATTTCTTGGGGAATTTGAAGAGATTGATGGATGTTAAAGCTAAGTATGATCCTGAGAATTTCTTTAAGAACGAGCAGAGTATTCCTCCGGTTCGTGTAAAGTAGTGATATATATTACTCTTTTTTCAAGTGTAATGAGTTATTTGGGCATGTGTTATAGGCTTATAGTTTATATGTAGTTTGCTATGTTTAATCATTACTCAATAATGAAATCGATTTGTATACGTGAGTATTAGTTAACTTTACAGTTCATTACTTATTTCGTTTTGTATATATATTTATTTCTATTTTTGTTTATGGATTGATTTTGAATTACGCTAAGAATTTAACAACTCTGTCTTCAGGTCATCTAATTAAAGTATATTTTACAGGCTAATGTTTTAAGAGTTAGTTAATGTATTTATACTATAGAATTGTGATTTGATCTCTAGTAATACACGTGTAAACGTACTATTTGACTAAAACATGCAATATAGTGGTTTGAATAGAACCGAGGGTTTACAACAACAACAATAAATAAAAAAAAAAAGAATAGAACCAAGGAGATCCTGCCGGCCTAAAGCATAATTGCTACAGGAAGATTAAACTCGATCCTACGAGGCTACGACTACATGATAGTTATCCAATATTTAGCAAGAAACTAACCCATTAAAAAGATTAAGAAATAAAATAAAATAAAAAGATAGGGCATAACACGTAAGAGCATCTTTATTGGTAGTCTCTTAATATTGACTCTTAGAATATTTTAATTGTTAATTTTGAAAATTTTAAACTTAAGAGTTTGGGTAAGAGTTTAAATTTTTGGCATTTTCCAATGGTAGTATCTTAAATTGGGGTTTTTAAGAAAAAAATGTTTTGAAGTGATTTGGTTCTTAAAATTTTGAATGTTTTGGTTATTAAAATTTTGAAGTGTTTTGGTTCATAATTATTGTGTTTTGGTTTAAAAAATTGTGTGTTTTGGTTAAATTCAGTGAGATTCAAATTAGTTTGCTAACCTAACTAAGCAATCAAAGGCTCTTTAATCCAATAAAAGTAGGCTTTCAACGTGAGTGATGCTATAAGAATACTGAAAAAAAATGTTTCACAAGTCAAACACAAGTAAAGATATCAATGAGCTAGAAGACGAGTAACAGAATCAGGAAGATACACGATACTCAAAATGCTATAAATCAAAGAATGATCTGTTACTTTCAGTGAGACCTACCATCGCTTATCAAATCTTAGCTCAAGTGTTGAGTGACATACCTAAGTTTAATCGAATCAAACCTACCAATGCTATCTAACATGTGAATAAAGCTGAGAGACGATGCTTCTTCCTCTTTGAGTGTCTTCCTCGACCCTTCTTCATCACATATGACATGAAGGTCACCTGTATTCATGATGATCAAACAAAACAAGTCTATAACATATATCATATATGTCAATGTCAAAAGAGTTGAACAACAGACCCAATTAACTCTTAATTGAGATAAGATTATATAGAGGTGTTAAACCTGAGAATTGTTCCTACATCTCAGGTTTGACCATTATCGTCAAGCAACTTCTCATTATTACACGAAATACAGAAGTTTGACCATACATGTTTCCTACACATTGCCAAAACTCCTATAATACGATTACCCATGTTTGCTTGCTCCGTTTCGTTAACTTTCTTCTTGATCAAAAGCTTCAAGTCTTTCAAAGTAGCTGAATTCATGACCGCAACATCTGCCATAAGTAAGAAACCCATGTATTTCTACAATGTTGCTCGACAAAATGCCCAAATGAAGTATACCCAGGGAGGAGCCGAAGCGGCTGTGTTCGCAATCGCTGGAAGCCCTATCAAGCAACTCAATAGCAGGCAAAGGTTTGAACCCATCAGCGGAGGCTTTAGCAGAAGAAGAGAGAAGAGGATGGTAACCAACTGCACAAAGGATCTGATAGAAAAAAGCAAGCCAGTTCACCAGAGTCTTCCATACTTGAAACCAACGAGGAGAGTAAACAACATCGGCATGAGTCAACTCGGCCATGAGAGAGTCAGAGAAGAAGAAGGAAACCAAAATTTCAGAATCAGAATCTCTTATCTCAGTTTTGCTGAAATCGCGAAATGGGAGAGAGAGAGAAAGAAAAAAAAACACGTGGACGCCTCTTAGCTGAAATTTTGTCTCTTAGTTAAAAAACGTTTGTTAACTTAAATAAACATTTATCATTTAATTTAAATCAACTTAAACCTAAGAATCATCTAAGAATTTAAATCAACTTAAACCTAAGAATCATCTAAGAATTTAAATCAACTTAAACCTAAGAATCATCTAAGAATTGCTTAACAAAACAAAGACACGTTTTGAAACCTAATTAACAACTCTGTCAACCACTACTTCGAGTAAAACACGACCGCTTCCATCACCACCGGATCAGAGCCCTGATTCTCGGCCATCTTATAATCATTAGTAATTTACAACAATACAAACGTAACAATTATTAAAATTTGAATTCAACGAAAGAGACAAAAAAAAAAAAAAAAACAGGAAATGGAAAAGAAGAGATCAGAAAGATTAATTGCCTTAAAAAAAAAAAGATTAATTGCATTCTAAAAATACTTTTTACATAAAACTTGGCAAACTTTAATCGTAACTAATTCAATAAAAGATAGGTTTCTTGAAAATATGTATGATTTTTTTTTCAAAACCATTTATCAAGTGTGTTTTTTTGTTCTAGTGGCTTTTTTGAAGAAAAACAAGAACAATGACAAGAAAATCATGGGTTTGAGTGCACTTGGAAAAAGAGATTATATTATTACTGTAAAAATCCGTCTTGTTCTGCTGAGATTAGGAAATCATGATCCTAATTTCACAGTTATAAAAGAAAAATAAGTAAACAAGAGTATGAATGAAGTCTCACCTTATGTTCCATTTATAAAAGCTCCGTATTCAACTTTCTCCCATTAATAAAATTTGCTATAAAATCTCTCCAATCCACTTTCTTCCACTAGTAATCCGAAAACACTGAAATAAAGAAGTTCAATATATACGACTCAAGCCCTGATCTTAATCATGAAAACTAGTCCTTTGAAATATTCGTTGCAATTTCTATTAGCTTGATCAAAATGAACACCTACATGTTGACAAAGCAAAAGTTAATTTTAAATTTATTTTCTCTCGAGATTTTTATTATATAAACTAAATTCCTGATAGAGGCATAAGACATATTACATAAAAATAAAATAAAAACATGAAAGCATCACTCTCTGTTTTGTGTCTTGTTCTTTTGGTTTCGGTTTTAGAAGCAGCAGTAACAACAAAACCAAATTCTGGAATTTTCATCGGATGCCTTCGCAATCGGACTAGTCCGGAGAATCCAATCACCGATGCCATCTTCACCGCCGATAACACCACCACCTTCTTGTCTTCTTACGTGTCCTACACGAGAAACAAGAGGTACTCGAGCCCTAACTACCAAAAACTAATAGCCATCGTAGCGGCAAAACATGTATCTCATGTTCAGGCCACTGTGATCTGCGCAAAAACCAACGGTATTCAACTCCGTATCCGAAGCGGAGGTCATGACTACGAAGGCCTCTCTTACACGACCTTGGGAGAGCTCTACACAAAGATCAATGAGGCGAGCCAAACGTTAGCGTTCCCTGCTGGCGTTTGCCCTACGGTAGGAGTGGGTGGGCACATAAGCGGTGGAGGATTTGGAAATCTGATGCGAAAATTCGGAATCACAGTGGATCATGTTATTGATGCTCAGTTAATTAACTGCAACGGCAAGCTCTTAGATCGAGCTACCATGGGAGAAGATCTCTTTTGGGCGATTCGCGGCGGTGGTGGAGCGAGTTTCGGAGTTATCCTCTCTTGGAAAATCAACCTCGTCGAGGTTCCAAAGATTCTGACAGTGTTTAAGGTTCGTAAAACATTGGAACAAGGAGGCACTGATGTTCTCTACAAGTGGCAGCTTGTTGCTTCCAAATTTCCTGAAGATCTTTTCATAAGAGCCTGGCCTCAGATTGTAAAGGGAACAAAACTCGGCAAGAGAACCATCGCGGTTGTATTCTTTGCTCAGTTTTTGGGTCCAACCGATAAGCTGATGGCGATAATGAGCCAGAGCTTGCCTGAACTAGGGCTAAGACGTGATGATTGTCACGAAATGAGCTGGTTTTACACAACGTTGTTTTGGGCCAATTATCCGGTTGGCACACCAAAGCGCGTTCTTCTAGATAGACCGTCGAGTCCAGGAGAATTTTTCAAGAGCAAATCGGATAACATCAAAAAACCAATCCCAAAAGAGGGATTGGAGAAGATTTGGAAGACAATGTTGAAATTTAACTTTGTATGAATTCAACCCTTACGGTGGAGTGATGGACCGGATTCCGGCTACTGCCACAGCGTTTCCTCACCGGAAAGGAAACTTGTTCAATCTTCAATACTCTACGATATGGTTGGACGCAAAGGAAACAGAGAATAAGATGACTATGATGAAGGAGCTTTACGAAGTTGCGGGACCGTACGTGTCAAGTAACCCGAGAGAGGCGCTCTTAAATTTCAGAGACGTCGATATTGGAAGCAATCCGAGTGGTGTGAACGTGGATGAAGCTAAGATCTATGGATACAAGTATTTCTTGGGGAATTTAAAGAGATTGATGGATATTAAAGCTAAGTGTGATGCTGAGAATTTCTTCAAAAACGAACAGAGTATTTCTCCTGCTCGTGTAATGTAGGAATACGACGATTTTATCACATATATTTATCAAATGTAATAAGTTACGTGTATTATATCATAGCCTATGCAGGTCATATAGATATATCAAGATTTTTTTTTTTTAACTAGATGTCAAGAAGTTTATGGGCTTATAGAAGTATGTTTATTCGCAAATTATGCTAAGAATTTATCAACGTTGTCATTAAGTCATCTCAAAATCCAGCAAAACATAAGAATAAGAATTAAAAATAAAACATTCCCTCCTTATAATCTGAAGAGAATCCGAAGCTTCAATGAATTAAGGATTCTATGCAAAAATAAAACATACCTCACATTTTAAGTTTTTAACTAACAGGGATTAAGGATTCTATGCATTAATTAAGAAGTAAAAGGGGTAATTAAGTGATTCATATTCAAACCCAGAGATTAAGCATTTTAAATTCTAACTTTTGTTATGTTTTTTATGCAATGCATATTTTTTTTTTACTCTCTCTTTTTAAGTTTTCTTTTAGCATCATAAATTTTAAATTTCATTGTTATCGGCTGTGAAGATGGCATCGGTGACTGGATTCTCCGGACTAGTCCGATTGCGAAGGCATCCGATGAAAATTTTAACAATCTCTTCATCTTTAATATTGACAACTCCATCTTTAGTAGTGTGGAAAAAAGCCAATGCAGGACCAACTCGCAGTCGCAGTCGCAGTCTCAATCAAAGAATAGACTTTTCAGCTGAACCCCTATACTTCTAAGAGCACCCCAATGGTATTTCTTATGGGTTTCTTAAAAAAATCCTTAAAATTAAAAGTAATTAAAATAAATAAATATAATAAATAAAGTTAAGGATTGTTAAGAGTTCGCTCTAATATAAGGATTGTTAAGAAGTTTAAAGATTGTTAAGAGTCTTATATGTGTCGCTTTCTGATTGGGTCAAAAATATTTATAAAAGACAAAATAAAATATGTCTTCAAATCTCAGAAATATGATGGACATTCGAACTCGAGTCCGTGATAGGACTATGCATCAACAATTAAAAGCTGATTTTGTTAATCGTATATGGCAAAAAAATTGTTTTTTTTATTTGTATTTTTTATATGTTTTTATGTCTTGTATGTTTAAATTTTTTAGGAAATGGTAATATTTATTAAGTTTTATCAAATAAAAATATTTATAATTTTCATTTTATTTTTTCTATTTTTTTAAGAAACCCACTTAAGGACTTTACCATTGGACAAAAAAATTTTTAAGGATTCATCACAAATTCTTAACTTTAAAATTATCATTATTTATGATTAAAAAAAGTTTAAGAATCCTTTTAAGGATTCAACCATTGATGTTGCTCTAAGATGTTATGTTTCATACCCAAAACTCTCAATTATAACACATTAGCCAAAACGCCTCATCGTATGTCAAAAATGTTGAGTTTAATGCCCCCAAACTTTTTATCCTTCCGGAATTAACCTCAGTTTTCAGACTCTAGACGTAAGACTTGTATTATCGAAAATAATAAGGTATATGAAAATCAAATATCTGTTGTAAACTGTGTTGTTCTATTGATTAATGAATGAGATTTCGATACATATATATACATGATGAGGGGAGACAAATCCCCATTGGGCTAGTAAACCCTAAAGCCCAAAAGCCCACTAAGTACAATATAGGCCGTCATAAGGAGAATCTTCAAGAACATGGGCATGGGCCTTCTAGGACATGGACATGGGCCTTCTAGAATATGCATAAGGTCCACGGTTATGGAGTCCATCCAACATGTGGTTTATAACACTCCCCCTTGGATGACATAACCGTGTAGATGCCAAAGGATCTCAGTAATACGCTTGGGGATGCTGCCTCATTAAAACCTTACCAGGAAAACCCATTGGGACAAAACCATGGTTAAGGAAAAAGAGTACAGCACGTATTACTCCCCCTGTTTTGGTCATCCCTGCAAGTCCTTAAGTCTCCGCATTCCAATTTGATGCGTGAGCTTCCTCAATGTCGATGTTGGTAATGCCTTGGTAAAGAGATCGGCTGAGTTGTCGCTGGATCGAACTTGTACCACTCGAACTTCTCCATCCCTTTGCAAGTCATGCGTGAAGAAGAACTTTGTTAGAATGTGCTTCGTCCGATCTCCCTTGATGTAGCCGTCCTTGAGCTGAGCGATACAGGCGTGTTGTCTCCTCATATGATGGTCTTTGATGTTGTAGTAGCTGCGCCTTGAAGAAGGCTGCCTACGTACCCTTGGAAGGGATCAAGCCACACGTAGTTCCTATCTATTGACCATGCCATAATCTGATTTTACCTGCATCAGCAAAACAAACTAAACCAAAGCAAACTAGACCTTCTTTGGTTAGATCAGTATAGAATAAAACCCAAATAAACAAACATAGGAAGAATAGAATTTAAAATTTAACCAAACCTTCCTTCAAACCTTTCTAGTGCCTTTGGGTTGATCATGAACTAAATTTAGGCAAAGGAGGTTCACGGCAAAACATATGTCTGGTCTAGTGTGGCTAGCCAAGTACATTAACGCTCCTATGGCACTAAGGTATGACACTTCAGGATCGAGAACTTCTTCCTCATCCTTCTTTGGACCGAATGGATCACTATCCAATCCGAGGCTTCTCACCACCATTGGGCTGCTCAATGGGTGGGCCTGGTCCATATTGAATCTCTTGAGTACTTTTTCAGTATATGCCTTTTGATGCACAAGGATTCCATTATTCACGTACTCAAGTTGCAATCCCAAACAGAATTTTGTCTTGCCTAGGTCTTTCATCTCGAATTCTTTCTTTAGATATTTGACTGTTTGGGCGATTTCCCCAGAGGTTCCAAGGATGTTCAAATCATCCACATATACTGCTATTATCACAAACCCTTCGTTTGCAAATTTCTTTATGAAGATACATGGACTGATGGGATCATTCTTATAACCTTCTCTGACTAGGTACTCGCTTAATCTATTGTACCACATGCGTCCACTTTGTTTCAGTCCATAAAGCGATTTGTTCAGCCTTATGCAGTATTGGTCTCGAGACCCTTTCTTATCTTTATCTTTGAGCTCAATACCCTCTGGTAATCTCATATATATCATCCAGTGGACTTATATAAATATGCAGGCATTACATCCATTAGCCGCAAATCAAGTCTTTTTCTTTATATAGCCAGACTTAGCAAAATTTAAATGTCTTAGCATCCACCACAGGGGAGTATGTTTCTTCATAATCTATCCCCGGTCTTTGTGAGAATCCTTGTGCTACAAGCCGTGCCTTATATCTCACGATTTCATTATTCTCATTTCTCTTCTTCACAAAGACCCATTTGTGTCCTACTGGTTTTTACATCGAATGGTGTCCTTAAGGTCGGACCAAACTCATTCCTTTTCTTAATGATTCTTAGCTCCACGTTTTATGGTCTTGTACCATTTAATCAATCAAGTCTTTGAGTGCACTCTAGTATAGACGTGGGCTCCTGATCCTCATTTATATTCATAAATTCAAGTGCTACCTTGCATGCAAAATCATCTTATGTCGACATTTCTTATATGTTCCATTATGTTCCAGACATGATATAATCGATTTGAGATTTATTATGGTCAGGACCTTTAATACTTTGCAGCTTGGCGTCCCAAGCTACATTATATGGTACCTGTACCTTAGAGCCGGCCGGCCTTATCTCCATGTCTGGGATGGTTTCCTTAGTAACCTCGGATTCCTATTGCACCTTTCTTTGATTTTCGAGGATTTTTATCTTTGGAACCTATTGGTCTACCACGTTTCTTTCGTGTGTTAGACTCGGTAGCAATTTCATTGATTCGCTTTTGGATATCAATACGTACTGGTGCATTACAAGCTGGTATGTACGTTTTTGTAACTTTCTTTGGGTCAGCAAAGGAATCTGGCAATTGATTAGCTAGCTTTTCAAATGTATAATCTTATGGACCTCTGATTCTCATGCCAGAGTCCGAGGATCTTGCCAATTTAAGGATGTTTGATTTCATTATATTTCTTTTATTGCTTTACCCAGCTTGTTCGTCTCTCCACCTATAGTAGGAAACTCGGATTCATTAAAATGACAATCCGCGTATCTAGCCTTAAATAGATCACCCGTAGTTGGCTCTAGATACTTAATAATGGTGGGAGAATCAAATCCAACATATATTCCCATCCTCCTTTGAGGTCCCATCTTTGTTTCTATGTGGTGGAGCAATCGGTACATATATGGCACACCCGAAAGTCTTTAGATGGGATATGTCTGGCTCATGACCCATAAGTAATTGGGATGGTGAATATCTATGTTCACTAGATGGCCTTATGCGTATAAGTTCTGATGCATGTAAAACAGCGTGTCCCCAAGCGGCTACTGGGAGCTTCGACCTCATGAGTAATGGTCGAGCTATCAATTGAATTCGTTTAATGAAGGATTCCGCTAATCCATTCTGTGTATGTACATGTGCTACGGGATGTTCCACACTTACCCCCATGGACATACAGTAGTCATTAAACGCTTGGGACGTGAATTCACCGGCATTGTCTAGACGTATAGTCTTAAGCGGAAAATCTGGAAAGTGGGCTCGCAGTCTTATTATCTGGGCCAATAACCTAGCAAACACTTGGTTTCTAGTAGATAGGAGACAAACATGCGACCATCTTGTCGATGCATCAATGAGGACCATACATATGTCTCCTTGTATCCTTTCCAGAAATTTTAAGGTCTCTTTATTTACCTTAGCCGGTGATGGCCTTATAATGAGTTTCCCTTGTGAACATGCTTCACACGTGAGATTCTTAGGGATAACTCTTTTCTCTCTTAGGGTGTGCCCCTTTGAATTAGTTATTAGTTTACGCATCATACTATGACCCGGATGGCCAAGCCGGTCATGCCATAAAGTGAATTTCTTGATGAACTCTTTGTTCATTGCCATATTAGCTTCGATCATATCGATTTTAGCATAGTAGAGACCAGTGGATAATGCGGGTATAGTCTCTTAGGACTTTCTTATGTCCTTGGGTGATCTCAATTATATTTAGGAATTCTTTGTTCCCTTCACCCTTTGTTTCAATATGGAAACCATTCAATCTTAT